AAGACGACAGACTGGTGAAATGGCCCTGAAATTGAATGTCTCTCATGAAACAATACGTAAGCATCTAAGGAATATGGGGAAAACTCCATAAAGAAGGTATTTGGGTGTCTCACGAAATGTCCGATGATCATCGTTTCCAATGTGTGAACGTTGCTTCGTCTCTACTGGCGCGTAATCCACATGAACCATTTTTGGACAGAATAGTCACCGGTGATGAAAAATGGGTTTTCTATGTGAATATTAAACATCAAAAACAATGGCTCAGTCCTAGACAAAACCACTTCCGACCCTGAAACCTGGACTCCATCCGCAGAAAGTGATGCTTTGCATTTGGTGGGACATCAAAGGAGTAATTCATTTCGAACACCTCAATCTACAGCGAACTGTCAATGCAGAGATATATAGTCAGCAAATGGAACGTTTAAAACAAGCCCTTCATCAGAAACGCCCTTCACTCATCAATCGGAAAGGTGTTCTTCTTCTCCACGACAATGCACATCCACATGTGGCACGTTCGCTGCAACACAAGATTATGGAGTTTGGTTGGGAAGTTCTCCCTCACCCACCATATTCTCCAGATATGACACCATCATATTACCATCTTTTCGTTCGCTGCAACACCATCTTAATTGGAGAACTTACGCAAATGTGAAAGGTGTTAAAGAGGACATCGACATGTTTTTTGCTTCAAAGCCAAGTGTTTTCTCTAATCAGTGCATTAACAACCTGATTGTAAGATGGACAAGCATCATCGATTGGAATGGAGACTATTTCATTTAATAAATGTTTTGTTTTGATATATAAGTTGTTCGGGTTTTTTCGTCTAAAAAAAGGACATTAAATTCTTGACGACCTAATACTAAAATGATTTGACTACTAAAACATTGTTTAGCAAAAAAATAGATATAGACGGGATTGAATCCTCGACCTCCTGCATACGAAATGTGTGCTGTACCATACGAGCCAAAGCTAAAATATCTTTCCACATATGCAGCATTATTAAGTGAAATACTATATATATATATGTAAGAAGGATATATGTTTTAAGTAGATAAATCTTTTAAATAATACTGTTTTTTATTATGTACTTGGAGATGAATGAAATAGAAACCTGCTAAGCAGAATATGGAGTTGTGTTTAGATTTAATTAAAGAAGTGTAAAAACATAAAAAGACTATAAATTAAATATATCTCTTTTCAGAACATTTTTGTATAAACACTGTTTTTGTGGATAATCACTATATTTCACTAAGTTCTTGATATTTTTTCTTAATCGAACTCTTGATAGAGTGACGTTATAAAATAGTGATTTTTAAAATTATGGTATCAAGAAGTGTAAGAATTCAACCATCTTCAGTTGTTGATATTCCCATATTTTTCCTTTTCCTTCCATAATGGTATCAACTCATTTTCTACTTTCCTAAAGTATTAACAAAGCTCGGATCCAGTACCACCAGTAACTTTCGGCCTAACTGTCGATTTTTAGGTGGCTGTACTGAGATAGTTCAAAAGGTTTTGTAGTTACTAGACCACCCGTGACCCGTTGGTTCACCCACTGTTTAGAGGTTATGAAGAATTCAAGCTAATTTCAATATTGCACCGAAATGAAGGTTTATTTTGAGATAATTTAATTAAATATTTCAATCCATTCGTGTTATTCATAATTCAAAAAAGATATTTGATTGTTGATCAGGAGCAAAAGAAAATATTATTTCATTTTTCAAAAAAGTGAAGTCAGAGTTTTCAGGTATTGTG